TCGGTTGCCCCCTTACGAGCAACCCTCAGAAGTCTTCGAGAGTCTTGTACGAGCAAGGAATAACGGGGGCCTTACCTTTTAACGTGTGATCCCAAATACTTTCTTGGGCCGTCAAAAAAATTTCTGCAGTCGCTGGGAATTGAACCCATGACCGGCAAGCGAATGCGGATTAGAATACTGACACTCTGACAACAAGATGATCACCTAACTTTCTGACATGGAAAATACAATGACAGGTTCACTGTCATATGTCAACTTAAAACTAGATACCCTGAATAACAGTAACACATAGGCTGAGAGTACACAAATTTCTGAGTAGGCACCTCTGAAAGGTCCTGATAGAATATTTGTTGGTAACTTTCCTTCACATAACTGACACTGCTGAAACATAATTTATACACAAAATTGTCAGATTTTAATTCATGAGTGATCAATGATAACAAAATCAATCAATGACATTTGTTGCTAATACAATTATTATTCGTCTATTACGATACCTTGCGGTGCCGCCACATCCACCTTGAATTAATTCCTGTTATTCATTTTGGTATATGTCTCACAATGACTAAAACCTAAGTCACCTAAGTTTATAATAATTATAAGTCTGAGTTTCTGACACTTATGTTTTATGGGTACCTAATAATGTTATAATAAGATGTTTTATCCAAATAATCCTCTCGAATTGTCCGTAACTGGTGATGAAATATTCATTTCAACACCAGTCACGTGATGAAAATATGGATGGACGAAGAGAAAATTGCATAATGGGCTGCTTCCTCGATATCACTTGGGAAATCTTAACTTGAATCAGCCATTTTCCACCAATTAAGATATATCAAACGAGTTTATTTCGTGAATATTTTCGCTGATTTGTGACTATATATCATTATTTGAAATATACTTTGAAGTGACCGGCGAAGTTAACTTGTCGACTTAATTTTATACTTAATGTACACAATTCTGCTATAAACTGATCATTATTTCTGCTCAAGCGGACATTTACAGTAAGGGTTTGTTCGGGTGATATTGAATTGTCGAAATGTCTTTTCTTCATATTCTTCTTAATATTTTCTTTCGCCCCTACTGAAAGTGGGCTCTTCGTTTCGTCTGTTTAATGCTCTCCACAAATACAAATCATTAATGATTGTTCTTCATTTCTTGGTTATGTTTGAGTTAGAATTGATTTCAATTTCAGTCGTTTTCCTCAAATATGGAATATATTCCTGAAATTTCAATTTACCTAGTTTTGAAGAATATATAGGTCTGCCATATTTCAATAAAATAAATAAGTTGGTTCGAAATTTATGAATTCTGTGTAGAATACAAAAAAAAGTTGTTGAAAAGGGCGAAAGATCCATCGAATATACTAATACAGGCTCATATAACCCTATCTCAACTTTCGATTCACTATCTACTGACATTTGTTTGAAACAAATACAGGGTGGTTCAAGATTCAGAATTCTGATCACCCTGTATCTGTTCCAATTACATGTTAGTAGATGGTGAATCAAAATTGAGATAGGGACATGGAAGTCGATTTGACCAATAATGAATGAATCTCGATTTTGAACACCCTATATCCCTGAAATCATTCCAGCTAGACCTCAAGTGTGATGCATTGATGAAATCAGCTCTTCGGGGAGAATCTAAAAATGCAATGAAATACAAGGTGTTCCATATGAAATAACAAAGTTGTTGTTTCTTTTCGTTAGAAGCTGCAACGCCGCAGGGCTAAAAATATTTTAGAACGATGTCCCTCTCGAAAATGTAGTCGACATGTTCCAGATTTTTTTTCATAATCCGGTTTTCGCGACCTACAGAGCCTTTGTTTCGTTTTCAAAGAGCCACCCTGTATAGGTTATTTGGTCATCACTCCGATTACCCTCATCCACAGTTAATGTATGCCTGCCTCCCACCGAAACGAGTTGTATTGATTCCTCGATAATAGTTATTTATTATACAAGGGAAAAAAGTAGTAGATTTTAGCTCCAGGTTGTGTTGTCTCCCGACGCGTAGCGGAGGGAGACAAAAAACCGTGAGCTAAAATCTAATATTTTTCCCGTGTATAATACACTATTTTTTTCTGTGACAGAAGGAAGTACGAATCAATATTGACAAGATATTACATTATTTCGAAATGTGAAAATTATCGACGTGAAATTTCAAGTCTTTAACAGTAGGGACACCTGCGTTTTATAGACATCTTTATCATTCTTTTGAAGTAATCAAATATCTGATGTCACTTTTGTCAGTTCAATTCTGTGATTTGATTTTAAGAAATTGCGAATTCAGTAGTTGTTTAGTAATATACGAAACCGCGAAGTCGAATGGAAGATAGAAGGACTTGCAGTTCTTTCTCCGAGACGGTATCATTGACTAATTTTTCGGAACTATAGCACAACAAAAGCCATTAACAGAGTATATATATGTGATATATATCCGGGAAAGAAGTACTCACTTTTTTCCCACGGGAAAAAAGTAATTTATGAAAAGTGACATTTTATAACCTGCCAACAGAGCTGAAATGCCAAACTTTTTTCCCGTCACAGAAAAAAGTTTGTTTTCATCAAATATTTTGCATTAAAATTATTATTCCTAATTAATCTGTTTCATTCTTTATATTTAACCTCTCTAAAAATAATAGTGAGAATATCTTTATCAATTATAGATATTCGGATTATTGTTAACAATTAATAACGTACATACACGTCGTTTTCGGGATAATTATTTTTAACTATGTGATCATTAAGAACAATTCACTTTCTCAGCTATTGTTTCATGTTTCAGGCGTGCAACGAAAAAGAAACAAAGGGACCCTGAAAGACCATTGGAAGTGTGTCGAAACTATAGTATGTTCTAAATGAACAACACCGTTCCACATTCATTCTAAAGAAATAGTTCATTGTCAGTTTTTTTTTCTTCGAAATATATACCAGGAAAAGTGTGGAAAATTATATTCACAGAGATATCTCGTTCCATCTAATATCTAAGAGCTATACTTTCTACTGAAAATGAGCTCGTTACCTGTCCCAAAGGTCCACGCAGAAAACATATATCAGGAAAAGTGTGGAAAATTATATTCACAGAGATTTCTCTTTCCATCTAATTTCTAAGAGCTATACTTTCTATTGAAAATGAGCTCGTTACCTGTCAAAAAGGTCCATATTATCTTTATACACGCAGAAAAGTTACAGGTGGGACCACACCCTGTTCAAGATTATAGGAAATTAGAGTATGAGGTATTTGAAAGGAAGTGAGTTTTCGAGCACGACGGTGCAGCATAAGCTTTGATGCATTTATATGTCTTCTTCAAGCAGTGAAATCCGTCAATCCCTGAAATTCCAAATCATTTCACGTATTTCCGGCAAACAGCGTACCTCTAAATTTCGTACTCCGTTTGCCTGATAGTTTCAGGCATTCCCTGTAATGACGAAAGGAAGGTTCATTCATTTATCATAAACAGTAGTCTCTTTTGTTCTCTCACGTAATTTTCCTAAAAAATATACTTTCTAGGAAGAAGGAAAAATTTTGTTAGATTTTGTTTAGAAAAAGTAGTTTCCTTTTTCATGCTTTTGCCGAAATAACATCTTCCTTCCTAAACCATCCGGGAAACAGAATATAGGCTAAAAATGGAAGTTATAGTAGGTCATAATATGAGGGAGAAATAGATATTTACGAATTTACGATACGAGTACCGTAAAGACTCACATTACGATATGAGATGGGAAATCTGTCAAACGAGGCCGAAGGCCGAGTTCGATAACCCATCGATTATAGTAATATGAGTTTACGATACGAATATAGTACAATATTTTACCTACTACCAAAAAGATCATTATTTATTCAAAAATATTCAATATTCCTTGAAGTGACGATTCATTAGGAATATGTAACAAGCAAGCGTTGCAAGGGTTGGGCACTAGTGCGGTAAAGTAGGTATCTCATTAGGATACTAAAATCAGTGTCGTAATATTTCACATTACATATTGGTAGTAGGTAAAATATCCTTTCTGCAGGCAAGTATTATAAAACCCCCAAGGTTGGGACCGAATTTACTCACCGATAAGAGGGTATAAAGCTACCTGCTGGGACTGAATTTACCATCACTAGTGCTGGAAATACGTGAAATGACTGGGCACTTCAGGCAATGACGGATTTAACTGTTTGCCTCCGACATATACATAGAGACATTGAAACTTGATTTAGCCATTGAGCCCTCCACATTACATGGGAAAATGTGGTTTTACTTATGTCATATTGCATATGATAGTAGATTCGCTAACACTTCGCCTTGCAAACGCAGCATTTGCTTGTCAAACAACGTGTCACTTTTGATCCGAATGGAACATGCTATTTTTTCTACAACCGAAAGAATTAACACCTAACTAAAATAAATATAAGTGAAGTACACACCAATGTGACTCACTTGACAGATTATTATAATGGGGGTTAGTTGTTCCGAGATTATAATAATATAAGTAAGTTTAAATAGAAACAAGGCTTCAGACTACTTTACTTTGTTTCAATTTGTGTTCATGACGACAGAAAGTACAGGCACGAATTCAATGAATGTCGTGCCATAAATGATAAATAATCCGAGTGGTGAGGATTATTCATACCTGTATAAATAATTTGTACATAAGTTCGCACAAAACACAATGACCAGTGGGTAGCCTGCCTGCATGATATGTCGAAGATGGGGGGGTTAAAATCTTGTACTCCACCAATTGTTGTTTCTTTCTGCGATGGGAATAATTATAGAAATTACTGTGGAGGCATTTACACTTCACAGATCAGGTTTATTCAATTTTCAAGGATGTCCAAATTGGAGTTTCAATATTAATATTACGAATTGACTATGTAATTGTGTTTGAGTTTCTTGTTGAATATAATGAATGTCTACTGACCTATATCTTGTTTATTCTTGATGACCTAGTACATCCTTCCTAGAAGTTAGAGTTCAACTTTACTTAAATTAATTATTGCATTCCTTGTTTCAGACGGGCGTATGTCGATGGCTGTTTCTTGTGATATCACTTTCAACATGGAAAATAGTACTAAGTAAGTGAATCAAGTAACGCTACCTTAAACACTAAGCATGAAGGTTGAAGATCAGATCCGGTTCATATGAAATTTTGGGTGTACACAGACGCACTATTCTTACGAGGAATTTGTTTCATAAAATCCAACTAGCATGAGTGATCGGATTATTGGAACACAAGTTCTGCCTCAAAAAAATTTGTATATCGCTACATCCAAGTTGGGAACCAACTCCACAGGAGTCGAAACTTGTGCAGGGTTAGGAAGAGCGGGACCTACAGCTTATGGTGGAATCCGGACCAGCAAGCAGAAAATGTATTTCTGAAGCCAGAGTTCGGAAAATTATATTTAAAGAGAACTTACCAGAATAATTAATCGGCAAGATAATGAAAGACCAAATTTTGAGTCTTTAAATAACTCAAGATCCCTGTTAAGATAATCGTGTTCGAAAAACTGGCCCCCAGGGTTTCACTTGTTATTTGCATATCAGTTGATGACTCATAAGTACCTACCTATTTCTTTGGAAGGTCATTCTTCGTATATCCATTAATTATTCTTCTCAATAAAAGGTTCAATAAAATGCTAATATTCGCTATTGTCTTGTGTATACATATTTAACTGCAACGACCCAATCGTTGAATACTCAAGCATTGGTTGCGTCATTGAACGAGTTGGTATTTCAATACTATAACTTTCAACAGGTAGTAACAGGTTAGCATCAAGTAGCTGCTGGCAAAATACAACAATAAATTACGAAAACAAAATCTCACTTACGGTATGCAATGAGTTTCTGGAGTGTACAGGCTCACAGAAATTTAAGAAGCTGATTTTATACTTCAAAAGGATATATTTAACGATACTGTAGACCGTTTTCATATCACAAGAACATGAAACAATAATTAGTTTGATTCACAAAAAAAATATCTTGGAATCATACTATTGAATTTGGCGCACATATAATATCAGTCTTCCTATTCCTATATAACAACACGCATTGAAAACTTCATACTATATTGAGGGGAGAAGTTAAATAAATTATCTTCCAATGACTATCAAAGAACCTCTTGAATGTTTTTGTTCATTGACAGCTCCAAAACTTGATAATAAATAATTGTAACTTTCCAAACTATATACATTTTATATCACATCAATTACCCGTAGGTATATCGGAAAGACAATCAATGGAGAAACCAGTAAAGTAAGTTTCACGGAAAGCAAGATTGGACAAAGCCATAATAAATTAGTGAAAATACAAAAAATAAGTCTGGAATCGATATTATGTACGAACAAAAAACACTATAGGTGAATTTGAAGACACAAATGAAATATTTATCTGAACATTAAATTTGTTCTGTTGCTCTCTCACATTCAGAAATCAAAAAACAAATATTAAGAAAGACAACAGGGATATAAATACATATAGGGTGGAACTTTAGTGCGTAGGAGCTCGATTGCTCGAGTTCTATGATAGCTAGAAACTTGATTCAAAAACGAATGTCAATGAGACAACAAGGTCCGTAACTAGAAATTATTGCCGCATATATAGGGGGCATCGGAAAAAATATAGAGGGTCAGGACAGGATCATTTTTTTTAAATGGAATTCCCTATATATTAGCACATTTTTTGAAGCATTCATGTGACCTCCAGCCACTCCTATAATATTGTTGACTATCTCTAGATCATTTCGAAGTTTTTTATTTTTTTGTCGAAATAATTTCATCTGCAGATCCATCCCGAAAAAATCACTGTAATCACAATTATGAAGTTCACCACTGTTGAATTTGTTTTCTAAGTAGGTATTAATATGTATCTGCTGGCCGTATGGGAGCGGCTCAGAATAACCCCTCATGGTAAATCCTGCCTGTCGTAAAAGGCGACTAAAAGGATAACTTCAGGTGGAAGATGGTCTCATCGCCCGGTGAAATAATACTGGATGCTCTGTCCCGGTTACGAACTCCATTCTCGATTCAGGTACAATGGTGGAGTCTGCCTCTACGCTAAGGCTAACCTTTCATGCCAGCGTGTAGAGAGTTTGTAACCGAAAGACTCTGATGTGATATGGTTCAAGCTAGTCGATACCAAACTGAGCAAATTTATCTGCTGCCTTTACCTATCGCCTAATGATAATGAATATAACAACCTCTTCGAGTTTTTATCACTCAAACTGTACTCCATTCAGGAGAGCCATCCAACAGCTGAAATCATGATCATGGGAGACTTCAATGTACACAACGCAGCCTGGCTCAATTTATATAACAAAACAGATGATGCAGGTCGTCAAACTAAGGCCTTCGCCATCACTCGTTGTCTAGAACAACTAATCGAACTGCCAACTTGCATTCCAGATTTCAACAACCAGTCTGCCAATATACTCTAGATATTTTTCTCATCAGTAATCCTGATCCATATAGAATAGAAATTTGTGCCCCACTTGGAAACTCTGACCACACCCCATCTCCTCTTTCCATGTATCATCCAGCTCCATAATTCCTACCCGTCTCACGTGGCTTTACAATTTGGCCGACTGGGCCTTCGTATGTTTTTTTCAGCGTTTTCATGGAAGAGAGTTTGTTTCTCTTCAGCAGATCCAACACGATGTGCTGAGACAATTTCTGAAATCATCATGTTGAGGATGCAAACCTACATACCGAATACTGCAAGGAGAACATCTCCCGATACGGCCTGGTTCAGTAGAAACTGCTCTAAAGCTGTCGCTTCCAAACAGGCAGCATTCCATCGATGGCAGAAAAATCCAGGCCTTGAGACTAGAGCTGAATATGTCGAGGCTAGAAGTATATGCAATGAGACAATTCGATCATGAAACGATGCTCATAATGCCAAAATAAGATCAAAGCTTGTTGAATGTCCTAATATCCCGTTCATTTTGATCCTTCGCCAAAGCTGTAGAAAGAAACTTCACTTCCAGCTCGTTTCCTCCTCTAACCAAGGAACATGGAACACAAGCCACAACAGCTCAGGAGAAAGCCAATATTTTTGCGTATTTATTTGCTGGAAATTCCACGCTGGATTCATAGGGAAAACAACCTCCAAACATAACGCCAATTGACAGTCATATGACCAAGATCACCTTTCGCCAACGTACTATGAGGAAGATTTTATTGGGTCTCAACACCAACAAAGCTTATGTCTCCGACGGAATCTCACCGATTGTTCTCAAAAACTGTGCTCCCGAACTAACACCTGTTCTCTGCAAGTTGTTCAACTACTCTTACAAATTCGAATATTCCCGTCCAACTGGAAAATGGCAAGAGTACAACCAGTTCCTCAAAAAGGCAAAAAGACCCTACCTAGCAACTACAGACCGATCGCACTGCTATCTATCATTTCAATGATCATGGAGAAAGCTATCAACATCGAGCTCATGAAATACCAGGAACATTCTGGTATTATCAACGATATGCAATATGGCTTCCGTCATCAGAAGTCAACTGGTGTTCTGCTCTCTTACGTCTCACATATATTATATGGCAGCAATCTATTGATAAATATGGTGGAACCTTAGCCGTGACACTTGATATCTCCAAGGCATTCGAACGAGTCTGGCACTACGTACTCCTCGCCAAGCTTCCATCTTATGGCTTGCCTCCCCACCTATGTTCTCTGCTAGCTAGCTTCTCTCAAACATGTAGTGGTCGACGGAGTTTCACCGGACTCTCTTATCATAAATGCTGGTGTTCCGCAAGGATCAATTCTAGCACTAACACTATTTCTACTCCATATCAACGATTTGTTGGAAGCAACTTCATGTCCAGTACACAGCTCCGCGGATGATAGTACCCTCCATACCGCCTTCTCTTCCCGGGCTCCAATTCCAGCCAGGCAAATCAGAAACGAACGAGGGAGAAATGTTGACAACATAAATATGTGCTTGGCAACAATTCTCGAATGGGTAGATTTCAATGCAAACAAAACACAAGCATGACTTTTCTCTAGAAAAGCCGATCTCACTGTGCCCAACATGAGCTTGTCAGAAGTAACCATACCTTTGAAGACATCCATTTCGATGCTAGGGATTACTATCTGCAATAACCTGTCTTGGGAAAATCACGTGAGATCAATTGCTAAAAGTGCATCCCAAAAACTTGGTTTTTGTTTCGGACCAGGAGCTATTCACTTTCAGTCAGCTGCTTATGATCTATGAGACACAGATTCGACCTGTCCTGGAATACTGTTCCCATATTTGGAGTGCAGCACCCAAACATACCTTGAAACTGTTGGATTCTGTCCAAAAAAGGGCAATTCGTCTCGTGGGTAATGCCTCGCTCACAAACTCACTCACTTCTGTGGGACACCGTAGAAAAGTTGTCGATCTGGCTCTATTTTATAGATTTCTTCATGGACTATGCTCTTCTGAAATATCAACAATTGTTCCTCCCTTGGCAGTCCCCGCGAGATTTACCCGTCGAGTTGAGGCTTCGACCCCTTAGTGATCACTTTTCAGACCTGCAGAACATCTCTTTCCAAAGACTCGTTCATCCAATGAACAGCGAGGCTCTGGAACACATTGCCAAGGGAGGTGTTCCCCGAGGCATATGACCTCCAGAAATTTGAGAAGAACACCAATTCCTACCATCCAATGAACAGCGAGGCTCTGGAACACATTGCCAAGGGAGGTGTTCCCCGAGGCATATGACCTCCAGAAATTTGAGAAGAACACCAATTCCTACCTCATTTCCCTTGGTTCTCACGATGTTCTCTGAACATTACAGGATATCCCTTTTCGTGGGAACCAGAACATTAAAAAAAACTTTTTAAGTTTATCCGGTACACCCTATTTTAAAGTAGATATTGTGCCTAATTTCCGAAAATGGAGGTTCATGGAAACTGTCCACAGGTAACTTATCCTTCAGGTTCGGACAGTAGGATATATAAGCAAGACAAGGTTAAATTGTTAAATTGTTCTATCCGTCATTCGGTTGCCCCCTTAACGAGCAACCCTCAGAAGTCTTCGAGAGTCTTGTGCGAGCAAGGAATGACGGGGGCCTTACCTTTTAACGTGTGATCCCAAACACTTTCTTGGGCCATCAGAAAATTTTTTGCAGTCGACGGGACTCGAACCCACGACCGGCAAGCGAATGCGGATTAGAATATGGACACTCTGTCCGCACGGCTACCTGGCCACAGGTTAGTTCAGTTCATCGTACCAATATATCACCTGACGAAGTTACTGTGTTAGCGAAACGTCATGTGTTTAAGAATTTTGTGGAAATCTTATCGTTTGTGAAGTTTTTACACTTGCCATGGATTCCCATCAAGTAACGACCGAGTCAATTCAAAGAATATATTATAAAATGTATCGTAGTTTGTTTTACTGAACAAACTTTCACATCACAGTACACAGCTTCATGATCCGAAATATGTTCTGGTATAACAGAGCATACAACATTTTTCTCCTCCATATTCGTGCGAACGTAATCAATTTTGCTTCCGTTTGTATTCATGTGTAAGTCGAAAGATGTGAGTAAATTTTTCAATTATTGTTGTGTTAAAAGTGAGTCATCATCATCGAAATTATCATTGAAGTCACCCGCCGTAATGACTATTGCCTTAGATGGTAATTTACACAATAGCATATCTAATTTCCATAGAAAGGAGGATGATACCATTTGCACTAGATGATCTGTGTTTACACCATGTAAATTTTGTATTTCACTGTTATATTTTAACGTGTGAGAATAATTCTGTTCTTCAATATATGCTTTTAAATATAATACTGAATAAGATTCTTGATATCCATTTATGAGCACCCTACTTCACGGTTAAGATGTAAACAAAAAGAAGACCAAATTACGAAGGTCTATATACATTATTGTTCCCTTGTCAAAACGAAAGAATATGACCTAGGTTATTAGAACGACAATCTTCAATTCTACCCTATACTCAATGATTCTACATATTATGAACATTCACAAACTAGATTGATGCGCCATCCTGAAAATATCGAAGTTTCATTTCATGGGCTTACATATTTCATCTGCTAAGTTAAGGCTACCTTTTTCAAAATTTACATTACTATATTCCGGATTTCTTTTTTTTGCGACTTTGGTCACCGAGGTATGTGTCTGTCTAAATGTTCCTCTGTCCATGAGGGTCATTTTATTGGTTTCCGTACAAATACCTATGGATCATCAAAACCAACGCTAATATCACAGTTTATGGAATCTAATAGCATCATTCGATAATAATTTATCTAGAATTGCATAACATTCACTAGAAACCGATATCTATATCTGAAACAAATGAACTTTTGTGGGTGTCAATAAGCAATTATTCAACTATTTAAAAATTAGAAACTGAAGTCCCTCATTCGATCCATAACCACGAGTACGAAACAATTGACAATTAATCGTTTTTGTTGTCGAATTAATTCATAGCGGTCGGAGACTGGCCGCAAGTTAATCAACCAAAGAAGTGTTATTTACTTTCTATCATTTTCAGGTTCGAAGGAGATGCGCGTAGTTTGTTACTATACGAACTGGTCAGTCTACAGACCGGGTGCTGCCAAATTCAGTCCACAAAATATCAACCCTTACATGTGCACGCATCTCATTTACGCTTTCGGGGGATTCACCAAAGAAAATACGCTCAAACCGTTCGATAAGTACCAAGATATAGAAAAAGGTAAATAATAATAAGATCAATATATCATTTTTTATTCAAACTTTGACCTCGAAATCATTCCGTAATGTTTCTGCGTACTCCGACATGATCAAGTGAGAAAAATCATCATGGCATGCTGATTTCAATGCGACGGCAACCAAGACGGCAGCGTATATCTTGTATTAATATGAAGCTTAACAACTTCACAATTAAGATTGGGAGTTCAATAGAATGGTCTGGATAAATCCTGAAGAGCAAATTTCAATGGGCCGGTTTTATGGGTTGGAGTTAACTGTGACCATGACTCACTGCTTCAACCTAAGGAGGCATTCTATAGGTGAATGCTTAACCCAGAATTGTATAAGTTGACTCATTGAAGATTTGGAGCAAACTTTTTTATTTTGTTTCTTTCATTTCAGTTTGGTAGGTATACAATTTTCATGAAATGAATGAGGACATTTAAGATATATTCCAGGAAATTAATAATTTCAAATCATGAGGATGTCATTGATATTTTTGAGTGAACCTGTGAAAATTCCCAGCGAGCACAAACATCCCTGGGATGTTTTGGGATGTTTTGAAAATGTTGGCATGAAGATGTTATTTTGAGACGTAATATGCACTGACCAAAGATGTCTTTGAAGGATATTGAAGTATTGTTTTTGTTCTTCTGTGGCATTTCTTTGTTGCCTACTGAGAGGTATCCCTGGGATGTTTTGGGATGTTTTAGAAATGTAGGCATGAGGATGTTTTTTTGAGGCGTAATATGCACTTCCCAAAGAGGTCTTAGAAGGATATTGAAAGTATTGTTTTTGTTCTTTTGTGCCCTTTCTTTGTTTGCCCCACCACAACGTCTCATGCTTACGTCACAATACGATGAATTCTGATTTGTTTTCGATTTTGTTCTTCTTCTTCGCAATTGGCATTCGCGTTTGCAGCGTGTCACGCTTACATCACGCTGCTAACGAACAGAGAGGAATTTGGTGAAGTTTATTGTGTTAGAAGACTTATTTAGTTTGTAATAATGACCATCAGATGCAAGATGTGTTGTTCGGTGCCTCAGTGTAATCAATATATAAAAGTACGAATTCATCAATACACAGCTTCTCCGCAGTTGCAAAATTATGCATTGTGGAGAACATTTCAAAAATTGGGAAACCTATTTCCAATTATATGTCTGTGTGTAGTAGGCACTACTCAGAAACCGATTAAGAAGGTAATTTCATATCAATCTATTTTTAATGCATTTTTTCATTCAAGGGAAATGGAATCCTAAAGCAAAAGTTCATTTTGACGAAAGGCTTCAGAAAAGTACCTTGAAAATGTTTTTTTTACAGCGATTTAATGTGCGCTAGATGCGTTGAAAATGTTCTGTTGTGTCCATGAAAGGCTTTAAAAAGAACTAGGGAAAAGGTAGTTTTGTGACATATCAAGGACATCTCGATAATTGCCGCCTGCGGCGGACATTGGCTGTTCTATAATAGTTATTTAACCAACTAGTGTATTAATGAGGGCAATTAATGATCGAGATATTTTAACGTGCGAGCGAAGCGAAACATCTCTGAGATGTTTTTGTGCTCGCTGGGTTGGATATTCATAGAAAGGCCTTTACCAATGATATGATGAAAATTACTAATAACATGGATCCGAATATTCAATCGACAACTGATGACATGGACTCATAAAACTCAAAGAGTTTCCGTAACTCGTTTCGTTAACTCCTACGATAACCGTTGATCAGTTATTTCCAAAGTGATGAAGAAAGGCATCAACATTGAGCTCCTCATATCACTCATCCAAACAAACAAAAAACTGAACATTGTCCCAAAACACTTCACTTAGATTGTGAAGTATTCCCAACAACATATAATCTTCAAAAGTTCAAAAAAAATTCCAATACCTACCTCTTGTCCCTATCCTCCCTAGGAACGCACGATGTTCTTTGAACATTATAGGGATTCCCTTTCGTGCGCTCCAAGCGATAAAAAAAAAAAAAAAAAAAAATATATATGCAATGCTCAGGTATCATAAATGATCGACAAAATGGTTTTCGCCACCGGAAATCAACTCGAGATTTACTTGCCTAAGTTAACTATACAGGGTGTTGCAAATTCGTGGCTAAGCATGGGAATCTTGGTAACCTCAAGAGATACAGAGTAGGTTAAATTAGGGCAAAGTTGCCCAATTTCATGCTCAACAAAATGCTGCTTTTAAATTGGAAAAAAATCAAATATTTCCGGAGATATCCGGAGAAATACGAACATATTACTACTCAGTTCATTTGAAGAGATATTTCAAAATAAATGCAGCATCGCCACTCCCCCTCTTCTTCTTCTTCTTCTGCTTCTTCGAAGCACTGGTGGGCGGGTGAATCCCCTGCACGTGGGCCTCCTTATTCGGGCCCATTGTGCGCCCACATGTTACGACATTCAGCTGGGTATGCCGACTGCCTTGGAGAAGTTCAGCAGCTTCCTCAGCTGAATCTCTTTTACGTCCTCTGGCCTCAAAATTATGTGGCCAAGGACAGCCCTCCTCTGATGCGTCAGTGCTGGACACTCAGTGAGGACATGTGATGACGTTTCGTCATCTTCCAGGCACCATCTGCAAAGGGGGTCATCCTTGATCCCAATAAGCTCTAGGTGCCTATTGAGGTGGTTGTGCCCCGTTAGGAGCCCTACTACCATTTTAAGGTTTCGCCTGTTTAGGAATAAAACCTCTTTTGCGAGCCTCTTCGAAGGTTCCTTTATGTGGAGCTTCGATTGTCTCATTCCTGGTGTGTCCTGCCATATTTTGAGGAATTGCTTTCGCAGCTGTTCCTCTATAGAGGACATTGCCAGGCTATTTGGTATTCCCAAAATTGGTTCCGGTCCGACCGCGGTCCGTCCGGAACCGATCTTTGCCAGTCTGTCTGCCTCCTCGTTTCCGGGTATTCCCGAATGTCCCGGGACCCACATGAGGCTGACTTTTCTTGATTTTGCCAGGTTTTCCAAGGCTTTTCTGCACTCGGACACCAATTTGGATGTGATTCTATTGGATTGCAAAGCCAGTATTGCAGCTTTGCTGTCCGAGCATATAGTGATTGGTCTACGACCTCTCATAATTAGGTTTTCTTGGACGCAGGTGAGTATTGCAAGTACTTCTGCCTGGAACACTGAGGCATATTCGCCCAAAGGAACTGAAATTTCTTTACCTGTTTCTTCATTGTATACCCCTGCACCTGAACCGCCCAGATTGACTCATTGGGAGGAGGCACGCCAGGTGTTGTGTCATTCCATTCCCACTCCCCCTCTTCTACATATTGAAAATCCGACGTTTCTTCTTATTGCGACCATCATCAACTTTATATTTTTCAATACGGACCTGGATTTTTCATTTTATTTTGCGATAGTTTTCGATCTCCTTGATATGATGATGTATCAAAACGATTCCTAACATCTTAACTTCATCTCAAATGGTCTCTGGCCATCTGCCATCTGCCAGAAAGAATATGGTCACTATTTCTCTGAATATACCACAGATAAATTGCTACCTATACCAATACTTTTCGTTGCTTGTAGGTGGTTATGCTAAATTCACTGGTTTGAAGACTTATAATAAGGATTTGAAAACTATGCTCGCCATTGGTGGATGGAACGAAGGTTCTTCAAGATTTTCATCAATGGTCGCTAATCCTGACAGGCGCAAAGAGTTTGTTAAAAACGCCATAAAATTCTTAAGACTGAACCATTTCGATGGATTGGACCTCGACTGGGAGTATCCTTCATTCAGAGATGGAGGAAAACCTAGAGATAGGGATAACTATGCTCAACTCGTACAGGTGGGAATCTAATGTTTGAAACGACATTTTGGTTCGTATTCAGTATAGGTGGAAGTTCTAGTCTGTATAAAGGACTTTCAGCCTATACCTGATACCTACATATAATTATGTTGTAGGAACTGCGAGAAGAATTCGATAGAGAATCTTCAAAAACAGGCCGATCCAGATTGCTGTTAACAATGGCCGTTCCAGCAGGAATTGAATACATCAATAAAGGATATGACGTGCCAAAACTAACAAAGTAATTGTACTGTTCGTTATCATAATCACAAATGAGGGCTACCATATTTAGATTCTGAGATATTTGACTTCTACAATTCTACACAAACCTCACGCTGTGGTAACGCCAACTGGTGAATCTGAAAATGTTAGGCCTCATTCCTCACAGAATCCTCAATAACTATTCTATTCATAATGATTCACACTGCTTCAGATATTTGGATTGGATGAATATTTTGAGTTATGACTATCACTCAGCATTCGAACCTGCAGTCAATCATCATGCTCCTCTGTATTCTTTGGAAGAAGATAGTGAATATAACTACGAAGGAGACTTGAATATTGTAAGTATAAAAAAAGTCAAAAAGAGTGAAAGTTGCTCAGTAAAAATTTAAAAAAGAGAATAATGCTTACCAATTCGCCAACCAATTATATGAATGTCATCAAGAAATTAGATACTGCATAATTTAAGTCTTACCCGAGTGGTGTAATAACATTATTTTGCATATATCATTATTTGATAGGATCACACGATCAAGCACTATCTAGAACTTGGAGCAGAACCGAACAAACTAGTTTTAGGAATTCCCACCTATGGAAGATCCTACACTCTTTTCAATCCAGATGCTTTTGAAATTGGTTCTCCGGCTGACGGACCTGGAGAAATGGGGGAAGCCACTAGAGAAAACGGATATTTGGCATATTACGAGGTGAGTAGGTAGACTTTGAACCTTCACCATCATCATTTAAAGTGACACTAGAATACACTAGAAATTGGATGATAGAAAAAAGGGTGGTGTCTATTTCGGTACCCACCATTTTGGCGTTGAAGCTATTGAGTTCAAATGGTGTTAATTAATTCTTGACGTAATCACAGTTATGCATGTTACAATACTGAACAGGAAATACTGAATACTTCATTGGCCATTTCAGACGATGTTTTACTCATGAATTCGGTCGATTTCAATGTCACACTGTCACAAAGTTGGTATGATGTTGATATTTTAAATTATTGAAAACAGCTCTGGAACATTGAACTATACAATCTTGACCGAAAATTAATCATCATAAATACCCATACCACAGCCGATTTTCAATTTCTTTCGAGTCCTCTGTATGTTGTATGTTGTTGGTATGTTTTGCTGGGCAGCGCCTCAGTATATATACCGACTGGATCATCTCATTGAGATGAGTGCCTTAATAATGTAGTATCCAACGCGTTGCGTACACAATTTTATCTACAACTGTCAATGTTTTCATAACTATCTTCAAATATACCTCATTGATATTCCACTTCGACGTATAGTATATCCAATATCAATTGCAGAATATCCCGCACTGTGCGGAGTCAGCCTGTTTGAAGTTCTCTTTGAAGTGACTGCAGCTGCGGCACTTGACTCTGCAATTGTTCTTGGGCGAACTATACCTACTCATGACAGTTTTCAGATAATTGAAAACACAAGTTGCCTGTGATCATTTTTGTAACCGTAGCAACGGTAGGTATAAACCACAACGAAGCCGTTTATTGTTATTTGAATTTTATTTGTATTCATTCAATAATACGAGGTAATGCAATTGCAGAAAAAAAATAAACGATTTATTTTGGTTGAAAATTATTCCTTATCTCATTTCCGCACTAGTGCGGTAATAGATTCAAGGAAGCACTAGTGCGGTTATCAACGTCATTATGACATTCAAAAAAGTGTCAAATTATAATCATTACTTGACAATTGCAGATAAATTTACTTTTCTGCACGATTTCATCTATTTATCTTGCGGCAAAATGAAAATGGTGCGGGAAGTCAAAATTGGGCGTGAAACTGAAACCGTACGGAAGAGTACAACTTTTGAAACGGAAAATCGTGTGGAATAGTTGTTTTTCTGCACGCTCGTATGAAATGGTAGTTTACCTAATAGGTGCGGAAAATTCCGCTAAGAGTCGTTCGGCTATATGCAATCGCGTGAGGAGAGGTCACTTTACGTGTTCGTTACACTATTTTTTCTACTAGCGTGCGAAAAAACACAAAAGTTAACCTGAAGAAACAATCACCATTATTATATATTCAAATGTCAATATGCTCCCTAGAAACTAGACAAATTTATTTTTCTTCACTAGTGCGGAAAAACTTTTTTCTGCACTCGTCGGGACAAGCGATTGTCTCATCATGAAAATGAGTGCGTAAAAGTGGACTTCTCCACACGTTAGTAGAAATTACCAATAGTAGAGTTTACCTGGCAAGGGTGGGAAAATCACTTACTCACCTGTTTAGTACACTATGTTTTTTACTAGCATGCGGAAAAAAATCAACATAAAGAAACATTTATTCATTAAATATTCAAATGTCTGTGCTGGAATAGAAGTATAACTATCAAGTACGGAGAAGTCACTTTATTCACGTGTTAGGTACACTATTTTTACTACTTGCGTGAGGAAAAAACCCAACTTCCTTCTTTCCACACGCTAGTAGGAAATAATATATTGTTTAACGAGCACGGAATGATAGTGATCTCTTACGAGAATGCAGTTTGCAGCATGAGTCATAGGCGTATGTTGCAATCATTCGAGTAGGAAATCAGCATTCCATGCAAGTTATACACTATAATTCTTCTACGGCTATAATAGATAACAGCGGCATTTTCGTTTTCTTCGTCTTGTAGCCATCTGATTTCCAATCAAGTAATGCTCATCTATTAGACATAGCCGTCATTGCTTCACATTTGACATTCCATGAGCGATGAGATTTTTTTGAAATAATAACACAATGGAGTCATTGTGATATCAGATACGGAAATAAAATTGATGACATACAAAGTACATACAAAAATGGATATATGTATATCAATATGAAGCAATACATTGAGAATTCGCATTCTCTATGTGATGAGAATATCTACTATTTTTCAGTTTATTCAATAGAAAACAACTACTTTCCTGGCTATATGCCACGACGTACATTGAATTATATTTATTGAACACACACGATAAGAGTTTGAAAATAAAATATAAAAAACTTCTGAAATTGAGAATTTGCATTCTCCTTCAGATATTCTCATCACATAGAGAATGCGAATTCTCAATGTATTGCTTCATATTGATATATATCCATTTTTGTATGTCCATAATTTATCTGAGAATATTCCTTTCCAACACTTCATACTCAATCAGGGGGTTCAAACTTGAACGATGGAAACTTGTGATTTTTATAGACCTCTAATCGCAGATTCGTGATAGAGTCTCAATTCAGAATTTCTTTCCACGCCCTGTGTGATGAATGTCAATTTATCATACACCCAAAAGCATTCAAAGTACCTCATTGACGTATCGAACACAGTAAAACAAGTGAGGTACGTAGTTTTTGAAAGGTATCAGATTGCTATAGATGTAGTTTTCATTAGGTATTAGAATAGTATAGAGGTCAGATAATTTATACGACGCTATAAAAGCAGATGATATTTCATCATTGCTCATGTAAGATGGAAGTAGAGGCCATGGCACCATATCATGAGCATATTATTATATTGAAACTATCATTGGGCACCAAAGATGTGTATACGACGCTATGAAAAATCAGAGAACTGGAGATTTTTCCCACAAACTACGTACTTAGTCCACTCGACTGTCTTGGTTTTTCCACACAAACTACCTACTACCTAGCCCACTCGAATGCCAATAAGGACTAAAAAAACAAAACAAAAGAAAGTTCAAACAATGCCAACATATTTCTTCTTTGTGGGAAATCAAGACAGTCGAGTGTTTTTTACTTTCTTTTATTTTTTGTTTTGTTTTCTATTGGCAAGTGATTATCTAGGAACTTGTAAATTTTTTAGTTTTTTCATCGTATCTCCCGAACTATTGAATTCAGGGAAAAATGTTATACGGATTTTTTGTAGATTCTATCAAAAGGAATAATTTTGGTCCTATAACATTTTCAGATATTTTCAGTTGTTTTCGATATATTTGTAATTATCTGAGAATAAAATTTTCAACACTCTTGTTTCATCTTCCAATCAACAAAAGGAAAAAATATTTCATGGTTCAGTGGAAGTCGACGAGCTTCATCTATCGATAATCTTTGTTTTTCAATATATCTTCATGGTACCGTATGAGTCGTTCAAATTTTTTTCTTCATATTTTTTACTTTATTTCCTGGGTTTACAGAAAAAATTATGGGTAATAATTCGTAGGAAATGTTCCAGTGGATAACTTTGCACTCCTGATAATTTTTGATTTTTCCATTTGTTTTCGATATATATTGAAAGAGGCATACGGTGCATTTTTCAAATTGGTTCAGGAGATATTTCGTTTTAAAGCGAACCGTGTGTTTCGGAAAATCTCCTTGAAAAACCCACTTGGAATTTTCCGACCCTGCTCAATTTCAATAGACTTCGTCTCTCCCTGATGGAGTTTTTTTTTACAAAAAATGAAATCGATCGAACCACTTTTGCGATTTGTAGAGTGGTTACAAGAAACTTCCGCTGAAAAATCGAAAAAACCCGGAAAAACCACCTTAGAGTTTTCCGATTTCCTTCATATTTTAATGACATGATATTATTTAGAGTACAATAAGATGGCGAAATTTCAAGTCGATATGTCAAAGGGTTCCGGAGATATATCGATTTATGATTTCCACAGAGTACAGACAGACAGACAGACCACACACAAAAACCAAAGTTGCTCAAAATTCGATGGGGATCATCCAAAGTAACTACACCGCTTAGTTTCCGAGATAACATTTTTGGCAAGGCCGAAGTATACTCCACTATATGTATAGGTATAGCGTCGTATAACAAAAGCAATTTTGTGTCATTATAAAAGTGACTCTTTCAACACCAAAATGAGTGCGGAAAAGTGGACTCTTCTGCACAATACTAGAAAATACCGAGTAGTTCACTAACAAGTGCGGAAAAAACACTTCACGCACGTGTTATGTACACTATTTTTTGTACTAGCTTGCGGGAAGAGCCAAAATTCTTCTTTTCCGGCCGCTAGTAGAAAAATAACTTTTTCTCGCACCACTTACTCTTCCAACACTGGAATGAATGCGGGAAAGTGGACTTTTCCGCATGATATTATAAAAAAGCATCTCCAATTTAGATTTGCGATTATGTCAAAAACCAAGACTGGGAAGTGGAGCAGCCCAACTCCAAGGCCATGGGGCCTTACGCCTTCAAAGAGAACCAGTGGGTGGGGTACGACGATGAGGACATAGTGAGAAGGAAAGCCGAGTACGTTGCTGAGAACAGCCTGGGTGGCATCATGTTCTGGGCCATAGACAATGACGACTTCAGAGGAGACTGTCACGGCAAGGCGTATCCGTTGATAGAGGCTGGAAGAGAAGCTTTGTTGAAGGCCTACGGGTAAGTGATTGTAGAAGCAAGAGATAATCGCTCAATATTTATGAAAATCTTAGAATTGAAAACTTGGGAATCTGTGAAAAAAATCTGGTATTTACTGGCCCTGATTAATTTTATCACTTATAATTCGGTAAGACAATTTAATGAATACATAAATCACATCATTGTTGATTTTTCGTTTGTTTCACTCCAATTCGCGACATTTCCACAGATAAGATATATTCAGCAGCAGTTGATCAGCTGGTGAAATTCGTCCGTATATAGTCTCTCGTTTATCTGAACTAGATAATTTAGCCTCCTGCTTTTGACATACATTTTGGAAATATAATATTTAACATGGAAGAGCAATCGGTTCTTGTAGCCTTCATAGTTTCTTCGACTGTTGACGATGACGAATTGACGATTCAAGCTCGAGTGATGAAGAATTCTTGGACATTTATGTAATATGGCATCAATGATGATGAATTTAGGAGACATTTCAGGTTTATTTAGATATTTATTTACCCAATGCTGCTTCTCCTTTCGTTACCTCTTCTACTTCATACTCCATATTATTCTCAGCGTTTATTATTTTCTGATATTGAAAATAATATAATTAACAACGGGAATAAATGTTAACATTTCTTCCCCCTCTGAAATAATGACAGTTTACTGAAGCCACACTACCTTTTGATACTCAGCAATTTCAGCAGAATATTGAGTCGAAATATTTGGAATGAATAGTATATCTGCTCACAAGCATCTGTCACATTCAGTGATTTTTTTAATTTCGGAATAGGTCGCGTACAAGAACTGTCAGATGACCGACCCTGGAGGCAAAACATATTTGTTTACAAGTGATCGAAATAGTTTTCCACAATTATTTTGGCATATGAATCGTATTTTTCCGCTATTCATCAATTCGCTAATGCCCTCACATTGTGCTGTTGTAAAATGCACAAAAACTGCAGGGGAAGATGAAGAAATCCGGATGGTACATTATGATTCAAAAGTAAGTACCTACTATAGACACTCACATAGTTTTCATTTTTGAAATTTGGTTATTTCTCTGATTTCTCATCGGAATTCCTTCTGCAATAGGATCAGCTAATAGAATTATACCTGAAATTTATAGAATAATGCAAGAAGATTGGATTCATGCAATCAATCGGTAGGACTGGTCTGACATGCTGACGATCGTGTGTGTTGTAGACATTTTCAATCTATTAGTAGCATTAGCTTGTATTGCAGAAGTGGCAAAAGGCAGAATTTTAATAAGGAATGACAACATTTCATAATGCTAACTATGTGAGATTACTATTTACCTGAAAAATCATATTCCCTAGTCTCTTGCTGCATTTTTTGTGCATTGTACAACAGCACAATGCGAAGGCATGCTTGAATTAATGAATAACGCAGGAAACACGATTCGTATGCCAAAATATTGTGAAAAACTATTTCAACCTTTTGATTCCTCTGTAACCAAATAAAAAAGTGAGGTTGTGTTTCAATAATTCACAGAAGAATGAGGTTGTGTTTCAATATTTTGCCTCCAGCGTCGGTCATCTGACAGTTGATCTGACAGTTCTTGCACGCAACCCATGAAAAATCAGCAGATTCAGTACTGTCAGTTGAATTCGGAATATAGCCTCTGATAGCGCAAGATTGAGAAAGATTGACATTGATTGACATAAACGCCATCAATGATTCGTTCACAATTCTGGTTGTCCGCTTTGTCGCTGTTAAACTTATAGTAGGAGAGCCGGTTGCAAATTTCGATCGTCATCTGATAACGTATACAGTGTGACCCACTTATAATGGAAACACCCCTGTATCTTACGTAATCGTTGAGTGAGGATCCTGAAATTTGTGGGAGCGAGAGATATACCAAAAATGCACTTTATGGCCAAGTGGGATTAACTTCAGTGATATACACTGCTCGTCAACAGCCATGGAACCACCCCAATTTCCGGAAAATGATATTAGGAGTCAAAATAGGTTGAAAATCACTTCTGATTCGGAATCAGGACGCCTTATTCACTATGAATTTAAATTATATTGTTATTATTGTACAGATATTATTGTTAACTTCTTCTCATACCAAAATGATGATTGATCATTCCAATAATTCCATCGTCTATGTGAGCGTCATAACGAAAAAAATGTATGCAAGTCTGTTCAATAACTATGGTCTATAGCGAATAAATAATAAATGTTCAAAATCGATAAAACGCCCCTCGCATTTGTATACCTGTGAATCGCCCTGTACATGTATGTACCTTGATTCATATCTGATTAAATCTTTATAGACTTACCGAAGATAACCAGATAGTGCCATCTTCAAAACCACAAAAGTCTAGGAGGAAAAGGCCGAATAAATCTACGAACAAAATTAATAAACCATTGGAAGAGACACATGTCAAGATCGAGAAATCTTCAACTAACAGAAGGAGGAACAGGTAGAAAATATTAGTTTGTTTACTTTTTTTATTTCGACTGTTTGAGTACAGCAATGCATATTAATGGTATTTCTGAAAATAGGAACTCATCAAATTTCTCCACGAGGAACATTTTTCATTATATAGTTATTTTATGAACCAAGTTCATAAAACTACAGCCACCTATGTTGTTAATCGAGTCGAAATTCACTTTCTATCATAGTATAGGCACACAGAGTGTCAACTATTGATGACATATACAAAGTAAAATGACATCTGTACATCCTTGCTATATTTATATTTATTGACAACAAATAATCAACTACCTACTATTAGTAATCAAATGCCTCTTGTTAATGAAAAAGAACATCAGGAATAATGTGCCTCTTCAGTAACGAGATATTTAGACAATCATTTTTTTCACTAGTCAAATTCTGATATTTTAGTGATTTGATTCACTAGCAATGCATGTTTCTAACCAATCATTCGATATTATACTGACTACTTCACTCTTGTTTTCTAGAACCTATCAGAATCGACTATTTCCTCGGTATCTCCTGTATTACAGCGATATTTTTTGTTTATTGAAAATTATCGGACTTGGTTCACCATACAGAAGTCGAATTGACGGCCACCTGACCAAGCAACCTCATTTTTATGACATTTTGTAACTTTCTTCACTGGAATATCTTCATTTGAAGCAGAAGCATTCAAACAAAACGAATGAGATAGAAGATAGAATCACTCATCATCATCCTGATGGACTTGAGATTTTTTATTAATCGGGTTGTTTTCATATAATATGTGCGAAATGAATAAGTTTCCATGGAAAATAGAAAAGTCATCGAAATTTGAAAAAATCGTGTTAATGATACGCGTCGGGGGACAACATAACCTCGTTTCAACGGAATAGACTTAGAATGGCAGCAAAAGATGAAGTATCTGGGGATTATCCTAGACGCAAAACTTCTTAGGAATCGTAGGAAAGATTGTCAGCAAGGCGAAATCATCACTGATGGTGAGCAGAAATTTTGCAAATTGCATATTGGAGAAGGCCGGGCTGAAAGGGAAAGCACATAATGTGGGGAATTCACTGCCCACTGAAAGTGCACACCTCGCCGATCTCCCAACCGATGAAATCATCAGGAAGTTCAATTTCGAGAAAATTTTCCGAACAGAACTAAGCACTAAGAAAGAATAGAGCACAGAATATATCCAAGCACTGGGAAAGAATACCATAATATGGTATACGGACGGGTCTAAGACACCCGAGGAGACTGGAGCAGGATTGTTTTTCAAGCAGAAATTCACGCCATAGGAAGGTGCATTCAGTTCAACCTCGACAGGATTTCGCTATCCTTACCGGCAGCCAAGCAGCCATCAAAGCGTTGAGCTCCTTTAACATCAACACAAAGATTGTTTGGGAATGCCTAGATGAACTCAACAATCTAGGCAGGACCAATAAGGTAATCCTCTCCTGGGTGCCGGGGCCCATCGGAATGGGGGGAAATGAACATGCAGACATTCTGGCACGAAAAGGAGCATCATCGACACTGATCGGGCCAGAACCATTCTGGGACCTTGGGAATTCTTATCTCCGAGAAGAACCTGATAAAGCTGAAGAATCAATGAGAGTAACACACTGGCGAAGACTTCGAGGACAGCGGCAGGCCAAAGATCTTCTCGGCAATTTCAACCGAGCAAGATCGAAGACACTGATTAATCTCAGCAAAATATTTCTGAAAGCAATAACGGGATTTCTACATTTCATACAGACTCAAAGAACACCTAATGAAGCTTGGCTTAGAGGAGGACAGCACCTGCAGATTCTGCGGGGAACACCCAGTAGCACCCCATCACATCTTGCTGGAGTGTTTTGCTGTACACCACAAAAGATCGAATATACTGGGAGCATACCAGCTGACCGTGGAAAAATACCACAGACAGATCCGCTCAAAATCCTCAGATTCCTGAAAATATTGAAGCTTGAGGGGCTGCTATAAACAAGAAAACCTTGGGATAGCAGAAGAAGATGGGGCACAATAGATCTAATAAGGTCGCAGCGCATCTGTCACCATCCACACTTACCAATACCTAATACCCAATAACCTCGAGCTGAAATCTACAACTTTTTTTCCTTGTATAATAAATAACTTCAACTGATAAAAAACTATAGGTGATTTTCGTATTTTTCTCTACTACCCGAGATACTGTCAGAAGACTAGCAGACTATATGTATATGAACACAGTGTTATTGTTTCAATATTAGGATTGTCTTTATGGATAAAGAACTGGTCTACATCTACTATTCACATAAAACTAGTAGTTATATGCGGCTCCATTACTTTTTTTGTACTGTAGCTAACCAATAATACAATCATTTTCCAGGATAAAGCCAGTAGAAAAAGAACAGCCGATAAATGAGACAAAATCGAGAAGAAAACTCAGGAGGAAAGATTCTAGCAACAACGATGACGAACCAACAAGCTACAGTAGTCTCAAGGTGGTAACACCTAGTTACACCACCCCTTCACCACCATCTACACCAGACATGGGAGGAGGTTAATATTTTTTATATAAATGATGATTTCTGGTTTTATACCCATATCGTTAATTTCAGCATTCAAATGTGAAGATGAGGGTTTCTTCCAACACCCCAAAGATTGCAAAAAATATTTCTGGTGCTTAAGTGGAGCAGGAGATTCTGGAATTGTGGCTCATGCATTCACATGTCCTGCAGGTACATTCATATTCAAATAATTGATTTTCATCGCTTTACATGATGTAATGTTCATTAAGCTATTAATTCTCATTGCAGGTTTGTATTTCAATAAAGCAGCAGATTCGTGCGACTACAGCCAGAACGTTTTATGCAACAAGAAGATGCAGAAGACGAGTGCGACAACTAAAAAAGAAGAACCGTCAACGACATCTACCACTGCTGCCACCATTATTTCGAGTACACGAATTCCTCCAAAAATTACAGCGGCAACAAGCAGAACAACATTCAAACAAACGACTACTACGACTGAAGCATTTGAAGTAAGTAAATATATACGAACAATTCCAAATAGTTAGGATTACCTACAACCAATGTTGAATGAAACACTACAATATTGATATGTACTTTCCCGTGAAGTGAAGAAATTTATAATTCTTATTCTGAATCTCAGTTTCATGATCATAAAGGAAACAAGAACTGATTGATTCAATGTAAATATCTACATAATACTGTTACGTTATTCGTGGCATTTATTCATGAACTGATTAATTCAACTAAAAAAAAACACTTGATTTTTAGTCATTACTAACTTATACTGCTGTCTCACTGACACTAACTAATGAACCGACTGACTGTTGCTGAGCGGCTCCTTCTTATAGATAGTTGTTTTGGCATCCTTTCATCGTCTTCCATACCCTTTCTTTGTCCTCAGAACATCTCTCTTCCTTATGTTTCCATTGAAGTTTTGGAGATCTTCCGTGGCCACGATATATAGTGGGTGTTCGGGCATATGCTGGTACATGTTGGAATAATTGGGATGTGCGAGAACAATCTGGAACTTCTCAGGGGAATGTCATAACAATATTAATACCTTCGCTATGAACACAAAAATACGTTTCTACCTACATATACTTTCATCATCGGAACTCGTGTCGATCATATTCATCCGAATTGAAAAAAATATGTCAAAGTTGAAAGTTCGCAATATGTATGACAACCGAAAAACCCTTGCAACGCTTGCTTGTTGCATTTTACTAATATCATCAATTCCAGGAATATTATCTATTTTTGGTAAATACTAAGCAGTACCTATTAGTAGTAGGTGAAACGCATAATATGTTATTTCATACTGTATAGGAAAACATACTTTTATATATTCGATTTGATCACGTTGAAAATAACCTATTACGGTAAAAATTGTACAGGACTAGTCCGGCAAAAAAAATTGCCAGAAAAGTCATCATCACATATTTGTTCACAATTTTGACCTTGTTGTCCAGTTTCTACTGACAAAATAACTGGTATTCTTTGTAGTATAGAGATGACGACTTTGTGGGTATCAGGTGTCTCGTGCCTTCTTGCATTGCCGCAATATATCCTCAGGAATTAATAACAATAAGTTATATGCGACGATAGCATCAAAATAATAATTACCAAAAATTGCTCACTGCTGATCGCCTCTAGTCCTGAAAAATATTACTCGTATGTGAAACTGTATTTACCGGACTAATAATGTAAATAACTAGTACTACTTATATTCGTATCGTAAATGACTTGGTGGGATGATGCCACACTGATTAGTTCTTTGACATCATTGGAACACAGTCAAAAAGTAGACGACTTTCCACTTTTCCATAGATACTTCCACGAGAAATGTTTTTCAGAATTCTCTGCTACCATTCCATCATTAGCCTTTCGTTGTCAACCTCGAAATACTTCGAAATTATCTGCCTATGGAAGTATTCCCAAGGACATAGAATCTCCGAAAATTTCCAAAAAAATCCAACGCCTGCTTCCTCTCCCTATCCTCCCCATAGGTACGCACGACGATTTCCGAACATTAAAGGAATACCCTTATAGTAATCAACGTTACAAGGCCGATATGTAGCAAATAACGGATAAGGTTGAATATTGTAATCCGAGGAGTATCCGAGGATTATAATAACCGAATCCGTTATTTGCGTATCGACCGTGTGACGTTCAAGACCTTGCGTAAGCACGCTGGAAGATTATATTTTGATTCGGAGGAAAAACAAACCACGTAATTCTACAAAAAAATCACAACATTATGTTGTCATGGAACAGCTTAACAATATCACAATAATATTATAACGGCCGCCGGCCGTTAAACAATCTGAACGGACGGAGGCTGGGCTGTTAACATTAACTTCTCACTGAGGCAAGAACACACGAGATACAGCTTCAGTAAGTACATCGCACAATTTTCGTTTATTCCGCCAGTCAAGATCGCGTAAGTCGCCGTCAACAGCGGATGACATAGCTGTCAAGAATTATAATGCAGACTGTTTGTCCAAACTTTTCTGATGTACTATATGGCAGTAGGTAAAGTTTAGTACGTAATGCGTGTTGTAAAGCAATTACGCACTCTTGGAATTCGTGCGTAATATGCTTTGTACATTACATATTACGTAATATACTATTACTTTACTTATATCGTAAATATCTATGGCATTAAGTGGAACCTAGTATTTCAATCATATATTATATGTTGGCAAATGCAATCTTCTCCGGAAAATCTCGGCATTCGACTGAGCATCATATCTGGGATTGTCAAAGTGGGTTGGTATCTGATCAGATTAACATATTTTGTTTCATTTCAATTTAAAAAACTTGTTCGGTAAAACGTGACAGCCGTGAGGCTAACGTGCTGAACAGGTTGTGCGTCCGTCCTATAAACAGGGTGTAGCGGTTATCAAGCAATCAATCAATGCATAAATATGCGTTCATAGCCGTGACAGTATCAAGCTCAATAATTTCAATTGCATAACACCCAGAGGAGACTTTATTCGTCAGTTGTTTGACGTGTGCTTCAACCTTCAATTTGCTGTCGATAAAAAGACCCAAAATTTTGCGCAATCTTTATTTTCAATCATCTCATTTTTTAGAGATCTTCTAGAGTACATTCGAAAGTTACTATATTTGTTTTTCTTATATTAAATCAGAGGAGATTTGAGTCGCACCAAGATTTTATTACATATATGTCTCTGAATATCTTAGTATTCAAATCGTCAACAGTTTTGTTATACCATAGAATATTGGCGTCGTCTACAAATATCAGTATATTACGTAATATGTGTTGTGAGAAGCATATTACGCACGAATGGAAAAGTGACGCACGCAGCCGCGGAGCGCCGAGTGCGTAATTCCATGAGTGCGTAATAGCTATACAACACGCATTACTACTGCCATATAGTACATCAGAAAAGTTTGAACAAACAGTCTGAATTATAATTATTGACAGTTAAGTCACCCGCTGTTGACGGCGATTACGCGATCATGACATATCTATACTGGCGGAATAAACGGAAACTGTGCGATGTGCTTAGTGTGCGTAAAGAGCTACTTACTGGGGCTGTATCTCGTGTGTTCTTGCCTACTTCCTATAGTGGCCGTAGATAAAATTACTTTATAATTCAGACTGTTTGTCCAAACTTTTTTGATGTACGATGTACAAATGATCCATCCTATGAAGAGCTCTTAGAATTCTTGTCTCTAAAGCTTGACCAATTTCAACAGAACCATCCAGCAGCAGACATCATCATCATGGGCGATTTCAATGTACACAACACTGCTTGGCTCGTACACTCTAACAGAAGGGACGAAGCTGGGCAACCAAGCCGAAGCTTTCGCCATCACTCACGGCTTAGAGTAGCTTATCAAAGAACCCACACGAATTCCCGATGCCAATGAGCATTTAGCTAACATACTTGACTTATTCCTTATTCCTCACTAATAATTCAGCACCCTACACCATAGATGTACGAGCTCCACTTGGCAATTCTGACCACACAACCTGCCCATTTTTCATTCCATCAACTGCTCCGGCATCCCCACGTCTTATATGGCATTACAATTCAGGAGATTGGGACGGTCTCCGCATGTTTTTTCCGAGTTTCCTTGGCATAGGGTTTGCTTTGACTCTGAGGACCCTTCACAGTGTGCTGCGGAAATATCCGAGATCATCATGCTTGGAATGGACACATCTCATTCTTTGAAAAGATCATCACCATCGAAACCCTGGTTCAACAAAAACTGTTCTAGAACTGTTGCCTTGAAACAAACAGCCTACCATCGCTGGCGCAAAAACCCTAACCTCGTGACTAGAGCAGAATACGTTGATGCCAGGAATAACTGCAGCCAAACAATAGATGCTTCGAAATAAACATACAAAGCCAAGATAAGATCGAAATTCATAGATTGTCCCAATGGCTCCCGTTCGTTTTGGTCCCTTGCTAAAGCGGTCGGAAGAAATTTCACTAATAGTTAATTTCCACCACTTTCCAAATCCGACGGCACATTATCAACAACATCGCAGGCACATTATCAATACTGACTGCAAGCGTCATGTAGACCTAGGCCTGGTTTTGATGGCTTCTTCTCTTCCTCGAGTGAGTAAAGGTTCGAGTCTTTCGAATTGCTTCCAGGACCTGTCTGTAATACATTTTTTCTTCCTCTCGATGATGAACCATTTCAAATTATAATCGACATTGACTGGTTGTTTTTTTTTTAATGATCATCCATGATCCCAAATTCCACTCGAAGCTAGAGCCATTGGGCCTATCATGTTCCATATTGTATTCCTTTCAAGCATGGAAAAGTCCTCCTAAATAGGCATTTAACTAATCATTTAGGAAACACGTCATTCTGTCCAAATGCGTTATGGTCACAATTCAGCGACAAAATTCACAAAATTGACTCGTTTGATTTTTCCATCAGTGAAAAATGGCTGATTCAAGTTAAGATTTCTCAAGTGATATCGTCCATCCATCCATTCACCCATATATTCATTCACTCTTATTTTCGTTCATATCAACACCAGTTATGTAATGTTTTACCTCACGCAACTGGTTACGTATAGTCAGACGTTTCAAAACTTCCTTCAGTTTTAAAAAGTGTCGAATCACATGTTAAAATTAGAAGCCTAAGGCCTACAAACCTCACAATACTAAATTGGTTTGTGGTTCACCTTCGGAGCAGTTCTAGAATTCAACATTTAGAAGCCCCTATACTCTTTGTGACTCTTGCAAATTTCGTCACTTGCTCAATCTGCTGATTATCAGAATGTTTTCAACCATCACTACACTGCAATAGTATATCACGTACTATGTGTTGTGACAAGCATATGACGCACGAATGGAAAAGTAATTCCATGAGGGCGTAATTGCTTTACAACACGCATTACGACGTACTATACTTTACCTACTGCCATATTCTACATCAAAAAAGTTTGGACAAACAGTCTGAATTTCAATTCTTGACAGTTATATCATCCGCTGTCGACGGCGATTACGCGATCATGGATTGGCGGAATATACGAAAACTGTGTGATTTGTTTACCGTGCGTAATGAGCTATTTACTGAGGCTGTATCTCATGTGTTCTTGCCTACTTTCTATAGTGGTCGTAGGTACATTTTTTGTTAAATGATACAGTTTGCTGAAAAAATATAGTCGTAGTTCCCCATAATTTATTATTCAATCGACATAGCGTGAGGCAATCGCTTGGGATGTAGAAATAAATGGATCAACCGCAGTTTGCTCGCTTTTCTTCAGTGGTATACCCATGGGTAGCATTGGTCTGTACCCTGTATAATTCGGAGTGCATTTATCATGTGGCGACCTCAGTGTATCCTTGTTCAACAGTGACTTGATATCCCCCTTAGTTTCTTCCGGAACGATGTATTTCAAAGGATCGACGCATGCTCCGCACACCACTGGAGGATCTTTATGTATCCAGAATTCTCTAGTGGGGTCCGAATCACCTCTGAGCTGTTGATCCTCCCACGATTTACCCATAGACTTGAATTTCTTGCCTAGGGGTTTATGGATATCCGTCTTCAGCGAAACGGTGTCTGAAGTTTCGATTTTGCCGATTTCCGGAATGTGTTTTTGGAAACGAACTGTTCCTTCTTTTTCTGCTTTTCGCCATTCCGTGGTGTAGGTGAAATCGCATAGGAGTTTCCTCATGTTTGGATCTGGCACATCGTCAATACTGACTGCTGGCGTCATGTAGACTCTGGGTCTGGTTTTAATGGCTTCATCTCTTCCTCGAGTCGGTAGAGGTTCGAGTACTTCGAAGTGGTTTCGTGGGTCTGTCTGCAGTATGGGCTTGGGTTGCAGCAAGAGATCGAAAGGGATATGGACATCCTTTTGCCATTTAGCAAAGGTTTCGTGATCTTCTATTACATGAGCTTTAGGGAGGGGTTGAGGGGGTTCTACTCGTTGTCTTTCGTAATTGTAGCTGACTTTTTTGTAACCGCAGTATTTTTTGTAATCATGTTGATAGGTTGTAGACGCTGGCGATATATCATTTCTTATCTTCTCATCATGACAATCCATTTTGACAAACAAATTAATAATGATCGTGATAATGACATAAGTTACCTACACAACCTTACTAGTTCTTCCTAGCACATTGTCGATCTAAATGAAAACCTAGTAGGCGACCTAGTACGCGAGGAGGTATGCTCTCGCCTACTAACTACCTAACTAGGTTTCCATTTAGATCGACAATGCCTAGCATATAAATTGGGATATTGATGCGGAATAATTTTATCTTCCGTATTATTGTGGTTTTCGGTATACAGGGTATGTCACGGCGAGCTTACACTATCTTTATATTGAGAATCAGTTGGGAGAAATCCATGAAGTGCGCATGCTTATATTTTAGAATACGCTCTCTTCTTTTATACATTGATATTCCAAATGAAACACCCTGTATTCCATTGCATTTTTATATTCTTCCTGAAGAGCTGATTTTATCGATGTATCACACTTGGGGTCTATCGAGAAAGATTACTGAGATATAGGGTGTTCAAAATCGAGATTTTTCAACTTGAGGATTTTTTTGTGTCGAAACTATTCATTATCGGTCAAAACGGCTCACATGTCCCAATCTCAACCTTTGATTCATTATTTACTGATATTCAATTGGAACAGATACAGGGTGGTTCAAGATTCTACACCCTATATCTCTATAATCATTTCCGATAGACCCCAAGTGTGATGTATCGATCAAATCAGCTCTTCAGGAGAATCTAAAAAGGCAATAAACTACAGGGTATTCTATTTGAAATAACAAAGTTGTTGCTACTTTTTGATAGAAGCGCAACACTGCATTGCTGAACATATTGTAAGTGAAGAGAGCGTATTCTGAAATATAAGCTTGCATAATTTCATGGTTTTCTCCTAAGTGATTCTCGATATTTTTTGTAATCCCATACTGTCTTGATTCAACGGTATTCAACCTCCATCATTAGGATTGTTGTACCTATAATTCAAAAATGGTTACGACTATCAATATGAATTTCAATACAAAAACTGATCGTGTTTCAAGATTGTCACATGGTCAAAAAATATACCTATAAAGTGTTCCATTCAAAAAACACGAGAAATATCCCTTCGAGAATTTCCAATTTGAAAAATCATTCACAGCCATTTGAGGGCATGAAAATTCTTCAGTATCATCACGCATTTGCGCATCATGAGTTATTATGATCATTTCAACTAAAATTTCATAATTGCGACGACAGTGATTTTTTCGGTATCATAGAACTCGAGCATTCCATATCCGACTCACTATTGCCCTACCCTGTATATTCTCTAATTATGAAGGTACAATTCTGAAATTTACAGGAGCGAAAAAGCTACCAAAAAAACAATCAATGACCAGATGGGATAATTGTCACTGATATACAGAGTGTTTCTTGAGAATGTGTAGAAAATTCAGGAGCATGTTGCTGACGTCAAAATAAGAAGAAAATTTCGTATACATATGTATATGTCCGAAAGTTACTCGTTTCTGAGATACAGAGTGTCAAAGTTGAATTCTTATTTTTGTTTTTTGGTAATGAATTTCAAAATAATTATGATATTGGAATGAAATTTGGTATCTAGGGGTATTTTTCAATGACAATATCAAATTCTATGTTAGTTCGTCTCTTTCGTGGGGATTCTTTCAATTAAAAAAAAAGAAACAAGTGAGTAGGTAGGTACTGGCCATGTTATATCAATCTGTTCTTGTGGCAGTGAAGTTTGTTGTCTTCTGTACTTGTGATCCAAACTTTTTCAACTAACTGTTTTAGTATATCAATTTGGTCTCAATTATTTGTATTTTGAATTGTAATAACACCCGATTCCTATTTTTCAATGAGATAAAAGACAGATAATTTCCCTTACTTGATAAATCAATTTTGAATTCCAACTCCTTATCATTCCAAATTACTTGCTATGATTATTTCAAATCCCAATAACTCGAAAACAGTTGCTCGCAGCGACCTTTACCAAGAATATATTTTTCACACAAAAGTGTTCTAGAAATCTATTTTTCTACTATAAATCGTTATACAGTTACCAGTTACGTACAAAAAAGTTATGACTTTTCAAAACACTCAAAAGTAATTTAGGTGGCGCCATCCCCACAAAAGAGACAAACTAACATAAAATTTGATATTGTCATCGAAAGAAACTCCTAGATACCAAAGTTTATCAACAAAAAACAAAAATAAGAATTCAACTTTGACACTCTGTATCTCAGAAACGGATAACTTTCGGACATATGTTTATACGAACTTTTCTTCTTATTTTGACGTCAGCAACATGATCCTGAACTCTACACGTACTTAAGAAACACCCTGTACACCGCTACACGATAATCCTATTTGGTCATTGAGTATATCATCCCATGTTCTCTATCCTTTATGACTGAAATTAATACCTGAGGATAAAATTATTCCTTATCAAGGCAGGCCCATTTTTTTAATCAATATCAGTGGACTGAACTTCGAACTCAACATTATAATTTTGATTTTTCCTCCATCATGCATTCGCACTGCTAAATGTGTGATAATAGGTATCATATTACTATAATAATTTTAGGATGAATACGAGTATGAAGATGAAGAAGAAGACAATAATAATACCAAGACTGAAACCGAAGAAGAGGACCCGAGAGTTATCAAAGAGTTGATTGATTTAATCAAAAAAGCAGGTAGGTCTGGACAATTTTATTTTGAAAATTTCAGAATATCCACAAGATGAAATGAATACATACTTTGATAATATAATATGACTTAACGAATTATTTCAGGTGGGATAGAGGAACTCGAGAAGCAACTCCGATTTTCGAATGGAGGAGCTGAATCTTCTGAGTCCAGCAAGTTCACTACTCAGTCCTCAATCAGCAAGTCTCTTTATGAAAAAGTTATAAGTAAAGCTATCAAGAATAATGCAGACACAAAAAAACTGTGAGTTCATGAGGCCTACTTTATAAGATTCAGGAAAAACAAACAAACTATATTTCCAGGTATTCTTCTATACAAAATAGCAGAGGATCACAAACTGATGGCTTGGCAACAAGAAGAGAAAAGTCCCCTTCACAATCAGGAACAACGAGAGGAAAATTATCCTATACATCAATTTCAAGAAGCAGGTGAAGAATTTTTCCGAATTAAATAGATCTAAATATGACCCTTCCTCCTTCGATTATAAACTTAATGGAATTCATACTATACAGAGTGATTCAAAGAAGGTGACCTCGTTGCAAGGATATGTAGAACACTGCAAAATAAATTTCATAAATTTGTTTTCATATCTGTCTCTCATAGAGGGCTTTATTTATACAGTTCGTACCGAGTATTGATGAACATAACTTTTCTGAGGTTAGATTAATTTCATGAGAGCATATATCATCCAAATCTAACCTAACCTAACCTGACACATTCCATAAATTTGTTTTTATATCTGTCTCTCATAGAGGACGTTGGTTATACAGTTCGTACCGAGTAGTAACGAATTTAACTTTTTTGAGGTTGGATTTTCTAGTCCAAAAAGGTACTCTTGGTGAGATCGAGAGTTATCAAACTGAACCGTGGATCATGTCCTAAGATATATACCTATTGGTCAGACAGGTAGAACGTTACACCATCGTATTCACGAACATCCTATACGATTTCAGAATAAGAGAACAAATTAAACGTTCGGTAATTATCGCATATTGAAATTTTGCATATAGAAAACTGAGTATAATTTGCGAATCAAAAAATCTGTCATTTTCTTTAAAGATCAATTAGACCACAACAAGTTGAAGCTTTCGAAACTGTTCTGAAAGTTGGAAGAGAATGACTTTGTCTCTTTCCCGTTCACGATAGTAGAGACCTCAATCGATATCGATATTTCTAGACCTGCCAATACCAAATCTGCTGAGGATAAAGAAGACACTGAAACCGAGAATATTAGCGAGAAAACACAATCACGATCATCAGCTGGAAAGACGAATTCAGTAGAGTATGTCAACATCAGAAGACCAAGAGTTAGTACCACTACTTCGGAGCCTGAAAATAATAGGTTTGTATAAAATTGTAAGAGTGTTTCACTTGAAGAAACTATTGTGTCAGCTGAACATGTCATGTTTTTGAAAATTTTGTGGAAATTCTATCGTAACAATAGAATCCTTTGTTTATCTCATAACATGCCATAAGGTTTTCTGGAAGAAAAGGTCAGAAATTAATATTCAAATTGAAATCATCTCTAGATATAAAATATATAAAGTAGGAATTCTATTTAGTAGAAAAAGGTGGTGGTCTGATTTGGAAAATAATGAGGACATTTCCTAAAAGTCCATTTGACATCAAAAATCATCCTCATTTATTCTTAGTTTTCATATAATATCCAAAATATTGCCTTTCTAAAAAAAAATCAATTTTGTAAGCATATTATAATACAGAAATACGATAAATCAAGTAACCGTGAAATGAATATAGACAGCTTCAACATCTCCTATTGATGTAAAAATATTCATTATAGTGTGTTCAGTCGAAACAAATACTTGGGCGAAACTGATGACGATGAAGACGATTCTGAATACGATGACGGAGAAGACGAAGAAGATGTAAGCATCAATACACCAAAGAAACAAACGTACACTCCACAATATGTCAACATCAGAAGACAAAGGCCTTCAACAACCGAAGAACCTACAAGCTCTAAATATTCAGATATACGTAGAGGTTCGTCTGCACCACCAGAACAATCTGAACAAGAACGCGATGGACCTTCAACAACCTCGAAGTATAAGTTCTTGCGACGTGGTACCACTTCTACAACAAGTCCACCATCATCGGTCACTGCTGATTCTCAATTGTCCAGGTCAGTTTAAACAAAAATGTATCAAATGTTTTTGCATTTTGTACAGTATGTAGTCTCACCAAACAGAGAGTAACGTGACACATTTTTCCCTAGGGAAAATTCAACTATCACACATAAAGAAGAGCCAGTATTTGGAAAATTATCTTAGTATATCGAAGACTGGAACCTTAATACACTACACTATCTTACCACTAACCAAACCGATTTTTCATACGCCTCGACACGTGTTTCGTTAACTATGTTAGCATCTTCATGCATAAAAAATCGGTTAGGTTAATGGTAAAACAGTGTAGTGGAAAAATTATCTTGGTAAAGGAAAATATTCTGCCAATTCACATGTGTCCTGGGTTTAATTTCAAATTCAGATCTGAACAATTTGCAGATGACTATCTTATTCCCTCTGGACCATGAAAATTTTCAGTCGGCAGACGATAATGTAATCGATGAAATCACTAGCAAATAACTGCCATCATTCAATTTTGTGAAAATGTCCTCTTTCAACTCTCCACTTGCCTTGATAACTTTCAGATGTTTCATTGCAGATTGCAAACAACACCGGCTAGTTCATCCCAACCAGCTGACAAAGAAATAAGCTCCAAGAGGTTAGTAAATTTGTTCTTGCAATGATGTTTTCAACTATGAAATCAAACATTTTTTATTTATAGGTACATTCAACTAACTCGTGGGACCACGACTGAGAGATCTTCACTCGAAAATGATAAAACAATAATTGGGTAAATCCTGAAATATACAATTACTTTCTGATTTTAATCGATTTGTTGCAGGTCGGAACAAGCACTCACATCCACTGACGTATTTTCTGCAAATGATAGTCAACTCAACAACTCAAACAATGCATCAGATACTAGCGAACCTCTCTCATCTAAAGATAATAACATTCTTATTGAAACCGAAACTAACAAAATTGTAGACACTACAACTACGTCAACTACGATAAATGGTGGAGATTCATTAACTACCAAGAAAATTCCACAAGTTTTTGATGCAAAATCGACATCAACCCCTGTCACTGAATCAGCCATCCTGACTGCAAAGGTGAGTCAACCAAATTTCAGATATCGATCTCGATCGAAGATAGACAATCAATATTCAGAAAATATCCAAAGTAGACAGAATATCGTCAGGAATGCCTCGAGGTTCAGGCCAGAAACGTCAGAGAAAGAAACGAGAGAGATAATTGACAGAGCTTCAGTACCACAGAAAAGGCGTATCATTTCTACAACTGAAAAAAATATTGAAGAAAATAGAACATACAGACCAACGGAACTCGCTGACTTATCTTCGCTCACTGCTGTTGATTTTTCCAAAATCAAGGAGTTCAATATAGGACAATCTTCTAATAGAAGAAGACGCCCAGTCATTACTAGTTCTACGACCACTTCTACAGAATATCCAGAAAGTTCTTCATCTGTCAAAACTAGCATACGCAAATTGACTGAACAATCGACTTTTGATAAAAGCAGAAGATTGGTAAGAGGACGTGAAAATCAGACTCAGTTAGTATCTGAATCAACTAAGAAATTTCGTCGTGTCACCTTTGGAACCACAGAAGAACCTTCAGCAAGTAAAAGTATTCCTGAAAATTCCGAATCTTCAACTACTCCAAGGAATAGAAAGATAATTCGCAGATTCAGACCCGGTTCTCGGAATCCAATTAACTTCAATGAAGACCGAACAAAGAATGTTAATGAAAATATTCTGTTTTCTCGAGAAAAGTTTGTCAACGAACCAAATAGCAGTTCTTCATCACCGACTAACATACAACAACAAACTCTCAACGAAAACAATATAGAAAGCGAAAATGAAGAAGATAGTTTCGAAGATACAAATATCGATGATGAAGAAGAAAATATCAAGTTATCGGAATCTAATATCAGAGAAAACAGCGCCTTGAACAGTTTTGGGTCGGATCCAAAATTCGAAAGAAAAACATTCAAATCTGAAAATCTCTATCGAAAGTCAACTATACCTGAACAACATATCACTACTGAAAGGTATGGTACTGACATCGAAGTAAATAAGACAAAGGAACCTAGCGTGAGAATTCGTACAAGAAAAATCATTAGAAAAATAACACCCACACCTGCCCCACCAAATCAGATAGATCCAGATCTAGCCAGTAGAAAAAGAAAAATAATACGTAAGCTACGACCCGTAACTGTTGCTAATATAATACCAGAAATGCATGAGGATGCTGAAAATGACAATGATGACGATTCATCCATCTCGACAGACTCTCCTGCTCCTGAGATCAACTTGAATACAACATTTAACCAATCCAATGAAACAGAATCTGAACCTGAAAGCTCAGATGGAAATGGAAATATAGATCTTGATGGTTTACCAGAACATGAAAGTAGTATAGGACTGGGACTAACTTCAGAAAACTATGAAACGACGACAACGGAAATAGTCGTACCGAAATATGTCAATAAACTATTCAAGCTCAGACCCAATGATTCCAGGAAGAGATTCAAAAATGCCCAAGAAAACATTCCATCATCTACAGAAAAAACCACCTCAAGTAGTCCCAAATATAAATCATATTCACGGCGTCCTAATTACTCCAACAGAAGATTCACTTCAACGGAAAAGATAGCTATTGACGAGAAAGATGGAGATAATATAGATGGAGAAGAACCTGATAGCAAAGATGGCGCATCAAGGGGTTTTGTAAGATATAATTCGATTGAACCACTATCAACCACGCTTTCGAATGATTTTGTTACTAAAAGATATAACTCTCTGAGACGCCCTAGCAATAAAAACACTACCTCTCAGATTCCTCAACATTCTACAGAAGTGGTCACAGATGAAATCAGCGAGTTCATAACAACAGAGTTTGTCAATGAAAATATTACAGTAACAACTGATTCACCAACTACCGAAATTGAAGCATTATATGAAACACAAATGTCCACAACTGAATCAGCTACTGTCCAGCCTGCAACAACATATGATGCTGAAATTATTACAAATTCTATTGAAACTACAAAATATGATGGAGTCATACAAGATGTTGACCTATCGACTACTTCAGAATTGCCTTCAGAAACATACGTCACAACCGATAACGATAGCATATATACTATTGTCACAGATGAATCCACTGATTCCACATCAAATAACATAACTACGGAAATATCCACGGAAAATTATTCATCAACCACAGAGAAATCAACTACCAATGAAATTGCAAACACAGTTCCAACCATTCTGACTAGTCATCGTACAAGCACTCTAAGGTCGATAAATCTTAGACCCAAGTATGTCCCAACAAAACTCAAGGAATTGAGTTTGAATCAACCAACAGAGCCCAGCAATATTTTCAAGCCAACTAGGTTCTATGGTAGAACACGTACTCAATTCAAATCCACCACAGAGTCATCAAAAGCATCAGAAGATAATTTGGCCTCAGAGATAAATTCGACAACAGAACGGGGCAGAAATAAATTTGGTAAATTCAAAAATGGATTCAGATCAGGCTTCTCAACGAAACAAAATCAACTACAAAGCACCAGTACTACTACTGTGAGACCGAAAAATACATATTTGTACCGATACAGCACGACAAAAAAAAGTGTGGATGACGTTGAAGAAGAAGACAAAGTCGAATATGATGAAGACACAAATGATGAAGATGATGATGATGAAGGAGAAAATGTTGAGAGAGATGAACCAAGTATCAAAGGAAATAATTTGAATCAGCTAGTGTCTACTCGAAAAACACCTAATAGATTTACAAACAAACCTACGTTCTCAAGAACAACTGAGAAAGAACCTAATGCTGAGGAAACGTTGAAAAATATCAACACAGAAGCTGTCAGAAATAGAAACAAAAACTTGTTCTCTAATAAAAAGAGAATTATGAATATTCCTGTATCAGTTAGTACAAAACCAGAAACTCAACCTACAGATGAGGATAATAGTTACAACTCCATCACAACTGTTCCATCGGCAACCACATCATCTTCTACTGAATCATCCACTGACTCACCTACAACCGAATTCGTCAAATCGTCTGACCAACAAGAGACTACAGAATATTTAACTACTCTACACCACATTTTTGCACAAATAGCTGGTGATACTGAAACCACCACAAAACAAACTACTCCAAGGGAAAATTCGGCAGATAAGATAGAACGACTCATAGAAGTCAGTAGGATTGTGAATGTGAAAACCAAAGAGGAAAAAGTGAAACATAATCACGTTGAGCAAACAACCGATGAAGTCTCCTCGATCCTAGATAAAATTGGAGCAATCAATAGAGTGACAAGTATTAAAGTGGTTGATGTTGATGGAATGACGAAGCACGAATCCGAAAATGTGAATGCTTTGTCGCCCATATTCGTACATTCGAATGCGAGTGAATCCACAACCTCTGAATCGCCAATAAAATCTTCTGTAGATATGATAATACAGATAGCGAAAGTGCAAGAAGTGCCTCCACCAAATTCTCTGCAAAAAGTTAATCTTACCAACATAAACGTACAAATAGATGCATCTGGAATCCCTGATCAACTTTTCTCCCATAGAGAAGATAGGAAAATAGACATATATGGAGGAAGCAAGATAAGTAATAGCAAAACAAATGATATCGATTTACAGAAAGCCGAAATAATTGATGGTAGATCGCACATCAATATTGTAACTCCTAGGCCGATATACAATACTGAAGCTTCTACGATTTCCTTAGAAGGACTTTTCCGTGCCGATGAATCACTCCTTTTTAATAGAAATAGTGCCTTGAATGACGAGTTACTGGAAACTGAAAACTCGAAATTCGTTAATGTTAGAGTTCTACACCCTGATGAAAGTGTGAGAATCAATAAAGAACTGAGGAAAGACGATAAAGTTATACCAATCAAGATTCTGAAACAAGACGAGGATGATGTCGCTACGAAAGCAAGAGTCGTTGAAATTTTACCAAAATCTCGTCTGGATACGATCAAAATTGTACCAATAAGAGTTGAAATGTCTAGATCAATTGCCCATAACTTGCCATTAATTGATTTGAATCGAACATAAACTTTGACGTGAAATTTAGCAATTTCGAATTATTAGTTAGTATTATTGTTACGTATGTATATAAAAATCTCTTTGTTGTTATATAAATAGAACAAATAATGTATGTGTGAAATGTAAATAATTTGCACCTCTGTAATATATTCGCACACATTTTTTAATCTTTGTTATTTCTATAACTTCTGACTGAAAGAGACAAACCCCTCCTTCTGATAAGCTCTGAAATTTCTAATTCACCAAACTTATTTTCTCATTTTTTCATCTGTGGTATAGTAGGTAAATTCATCAAAATAGGGGTCCTCAAGTTGAATGTTGTTTTAATGAGATTATATTTATACAGGGTGTCAGGTTTTCTTGAAGTACGATTTCAGCAATGATTGTTAGAAAACTTATTTGACAAAACACTTTGTTGCTGAGGTATAAAAAGTTTTTGAAGTTGAAAATATACATAGATGACTTGTATTACGCAAACGCTCTAATATTTCATGAATAATATTCAGAATCTTTGAATCACAAATTGAGTGAGCTATATTCTAACATTTGAAAACTCGTTGTAACTGATTCAATGAGTAGTGGTAGAAGTTAGAACAATAGTTATTTATTATACAAGGGAAAAAGTAGTAGATTTTAGCTCCAGGTTGTGTTGTCTCCCGACGCGTAGCGGAGGGAGACAAAAAACCGTGAGCTAAAATCTAATATTTTTCCCGTGTATAATACACTATTTTTTTCTGTGACAGAAGGAAGGACGAATCAATATTGAGAAGTTATTACATTATTTCGAAATCTGAAAATTATCGACGTGAAATTTCAAGTTTTTAATAGTAGGGACACCTGCGTTTTATAGGCATCTTTATCATTCTTTTGAAGTAATCAAATATCTGATGTCACTTCTGTCAGTTCAATTCTGTGATTTAATTTTGAAAAATTGCGAATTCAGTAGTTGTTTAGTATACGAAACCGCGAAGTCGAATGGAAGATAAAAGGACTTGCAGTTCTTTCTCGGAGACGGTATTATTGACTAATTTTTCGGAACTATAGCACAACAAAAGCCATTAACAGAGTATAGGTATATATGTGATATATATCCGGGAAAAAAGTACTCACTTTTTTCCCACGGGAAAAAAGTAATTTATGAAAAGTGACATTTTATAACCTGCCAACAGAGATGAAATGCCAAACTTTTTTCCCGTCACAGAAAAAAAGCATTATTTCGACTCGTTCAAGGCAGAAAGCAGTAACAGCACAAGCACCATTTCACAGATATCAAATTGACATTGAACCATTTCAAACTGAATACGAAGAATGAATACACCTTACGACTAATCAGAACAGAAAGTGATGTCAAACATGAATTCAATTATAATGTATCAAGTTCTTTTTGATTACCTCGAAAATAAGTGTAAAATGGCGTTAATGTTAAACCACTTTGACCAAATGTTGGTTATGGCCGTTGATTGATATATTACGCTTAAGCGTAAGCGTAATATATCAATCACCGTTATGGTCTAGAAGCTAACAAAAGGTTACATCATCTTAGAGATAGGGATGAGACTTTTACAAACACTCACAATCTAGGAACAAGAGAATGGCTAGTCTGGTTACCCGCCAGAGGTGAAGGTAGGTACAGAATGTTAAAACAGTTTTAATCTTCTCCTGAAGATGCTAACATAGTTAGCGAAACACGTGTCGTGGCGTAAAATAATCAATTTGGTTAGTGGTAAAAAAGTGTGTGGTGTACCATAGTAGAAAAACCAAGGATATGTCACTATATCTGTGAAGGATGGCTTCAATCCAATAAATTTGGTTGACTCAGCATACAGATAACACAGCTCCTGATGTAATTATAGGACGCCACAGACTAATTTATATACAGGGAGTCCCAAAATTAGCCTACCAAACTTCACTTGCGGTTTCTACGACCAAAAATAGGAAGAAACATGAGTCGAGAAATGTATCCAGAGGCCTCATGAGAGGGGACTTCTGAAGATGATATTTCTTGAATACTTTCGAAACACCATGTGATAAAATGATGCGTTGCGGTACAAGAACTAAACCTTCCATGCCCAATGCACTGAAAATAAAATCATTCCAAAATGTCATTCTGGAGTGTATAATATACGGTGGGACTACAGTAAGTATTGCTCAAACTTTTCTTTTACGCGTATTGTTCGATTATTTAATCTTGGATCAGGAAAATTCACACCGTTTTACAATAAAAAGGTGCTCTTGTTTTGTATCGATAAGATCTATCATTTTCGAGTGAAATCGATTAATAAATATTGTTACACTCTCATCTTATGCATAATGTTGTCAATTGTCAAATCATAGTGGCTATAAAAAAACAACTACTTTATTCTCACCAATCACAATTTTTGTGCATTTTTTTTTCATATCTACTTCGATTTATTGCAATGTCATGCACAATATCTGAGATGTGACAATATTTCCAAATCGATTTTACTTGAAGATGATACATCTGATAGATACAGGAGTACCTTTTTTCTGTGAAGAGGTGTGGATTTTCATAATCCGAAATTAAATTGTCGAGAAATATGCAAACAAAAAAGTTTATTACAAGTATCTGAACAAAACAGTCATACGATGGAAACAAACAAGACAGATCTAGACATTCGATTCACAAACTTGAGATTATCATGAAAATTACAATAAACTTACAATACACAAAACAAACAATTTAAAATCTTCAAAAATTCGAGTTGGATTGTTTCAATAAATGCATTTTCAACTTAGTTTTGGATATGCTCATGGAACAAGCGCTGTTCACATCAGATGGCAAGTCATTGAATTGTTTTAATCCTCTTAAAGAAATTTAATTTTATCCCAATCTCTTACTCCTCGATGGAATGGAAAAGTGTTCTTTCTGTCTTTTTTTTATGTCCCGGTTTCTACGAAAAGGGATATCTTGTAATGTTCAGAAAAAATCGTGAGCACCAAGGGAAATAAGGTAGGAATTGGTGTTCTTCTTGAATTTCTGGAGGTTATATGCCTCTGGGAACACCTCCCTTGGCAATGTGTTTCCATAGCCCCGTTGTTCGTTGGATGAACGAGTCTTTGGAAAGAGATGTTCTGCAGGTCTCCAAAGTGACCACGAAGGGGTGCGAAGTCCATGAAAATATCTATAAAATAGAGCCAGATCGCCAACTTTTCTACGGTGTCCCAGAGAAGTGAGTGAGTTTGTGAGCGAGGCATCACCCATGAGACGAATTGCCCTTTTTTGGACAGAATCCAACAGTTTCAGGGTATGTTTGGGTGCTGCACTCCAAATATGGGAACAATATTTCAGGACAGGTCGGATCTGTGCCTTACAGATCATAAGCAGCTGACTGGAAGTGAAATAGCTCCTGGCCCAAAACAAAAAACCAAGTTTTTGGGATGTACTTTTAGGTATTATGGTATTATGATAATTAATTTCTTTATTATAAGTTAGCTTGGTTATCAAATAATTTGGTGCGTTGCCTCTTATTGTATTTTAAAAATTAATATCAATACCAAAAACGCGAAATAATATTCAACAGGCAGCCAATTTGAAATTTGCAACATATGTTCAATGGGTGTGTACTTATTACAGGCCAATATGAGACGTATCGCTCTGTTTTACAATTTTTGTATTATTTTCGAATCATTCTGATTCAGAAGATATAGAATTGTTGCACAAAAACTGGGATGTGAGAGAATCACAGTATTGTAATCAATCTTCTTGGAAAAAAATGAGAGGTACTGTGAACATCTACATAAATAAGATATTCCATAATTCATTTTTGATAATATGTAATTTGCATGTTCTCGGAATAAAAGTTTGTGATGTAATATCACTCCTAGATATGTGAATATTTCGACATTCTCGATACAATCATTTCCAACCTTCAAAGAATAGTTGCTAATTTTTGACTCTTGTAGTATTGCTTCTTTTTCGATCAACATAAATTCAGTTTTTGATACATTGATTTAGAGTAAATTTTGACATGTATAGTTGAAAATTTTATCCAAAGCCATTTGTGTTGCGGATACTATAAGCAATGTAGATCACGTGAAGTTGCATATATCAGTGTGTCGTCTGCAGAAAGATGAATATTAATAGAAATGTTCAGATTCACGATATCATTGATGAACAACACAAAAAGTATTGGCCCCAATATACTGCCTTGAGGTACACCGAAATAATTTATTGCTTCTGCAGATAAGATGCCATTGAATTGAACTTTTTGTTTTCTACTAAGCAAGTACCTAACTATCAAACCACATGAGAATACTTCCAGTCAACCTAATTTTCTTCAGTTTTTCAATTAATATTTTTATATATCTTTTCATCACATGACATTTCGTAAATATTCAAGAAATATTACCTTCAGGAGCATTCTTTCTGGAGGCCGTAGATCCCTTGAAAGGAATTTTTCGCCTCGTGGTCTTTATAACTACTCTTCCTATTTTTTGTCGTAAAAGCCGCTGGCTAATTTCGGGACACCCTGCATACGTCAAGTTGAGCTCACGTAATCGCTTTGCCTTCTAGGTGGTGTTTACTTAGCAATCTGAGGATTGAGCGATTGAGCCATCCTTATAGAAATGCACTTAAACGTCCTCGAATATACAGGGTGATTTACATAAGAACCGACACAGATCAGGGGCATGTAGGGGGTCCCAAAATATGGCAATTTAACGCAACTTACCTCTATACCAAGTTGCTTCCTTAAGGAGTTAGAAAGTGAAGTTATAAATTTTGAAAAAAATCAATATCTCCGTTATTCTTGAACTTAAAGCAACCAAATTTGGTATACTTCGTGGATGTATTTAGGGCGTTACTTGACAGTAACAAGAGTTCAATTGAAATTTGTAAAGGGGGTATACCGGGTGGCGCACCATTAATATTCAACAGAATTTTGTTAACCCTTGATGGATTTCAAAAATCTTTGCTTTGTTTTGTGGGAAATTCAATTCTAAAACTTTTCTTAATCCAGACATTTTTCGAAAAACCTCATCATTTTCATCAAAAACTCGAATAACTGAAAACGCGTGCTCTAGGTGTGTTATTTAAAATCATCGAAAATTCAAAAGTTGGCTGTGAAAATAAACGTCAAACTTGACAATGAAGCAAGGAAGTTGTTCAATTAAGTAATTTATCGATAAACAAT